CTTTTGCAAAGCCACCCCAATCTGGATCACCTAAGGATGATCCTATGGATGAAGTCTTAGTAGCTAACATTCCAAATTTGAATATTTCTACTGAAGAAATTTCTGAATCTTCATCGTCTCTGTTGACCATCACTACTAAACCGTCTACTAGCATCACGTCGCCTAACAAATTTGAGATCTTAAACTCTCAAATTGACTCGGAGCCACAAGATTATATGGTTGAATGTTCTAATGATGTTGGGATTTCTCAGAAATAGGCGGGGAAAAGCAAAAAACAATCTACTTCCGACAATTCCAAAAAATCTGCAAAGGGTAAGCAGAGTAAAAAATCCCATCCTCAAACCAATATTTAATGTCTCTTCCTTCCATAGGTGTGTGGAATGTAAGAGGTTTTAACCGGCTTGAAAAAGTGTTAAGCTGTAAAAGGCTTATTAATTCTTTCAAGCTTGATTTGTTTTGTCTGCTGGAAACCCGCATTCATGCCCCTTCTCTTCTTGAACCTTTTTTTGACTCTTCCCACTTACTTTTTTCGAATGAAGCTAGTATACACAACTTTAATCTTTCTTCCTCTGGGAGGATTTGGATTAAATGGGATGCCAATAAATTAATTTTTGCACCAACTCTCATCACCCCGCAACTGATCAATGGGACGGTTACTATTGGAAATCTCCCTCCTTTTCAGATTTCTATAGTATATGCCTCTAATAATGCTTCTGACATAAAGGATCTTTGGTCTACTTTAAACATGGTTGCTCCTTCTCCTGCTATGCCGTGGGCAATTTTGGGGGATTTCAATTGTTGTAGGTTTGCTAATAAAAAATCTGGTGGCTCTGCTATTCATCATTCCAATCTGGTTGATATTAATAACATAATCTTTGCAAACAGTTTGGTGGACTTGCATTCAGTGGGTAACTTCTATACTTGGTATAATCAACAAACTGCGAATCCTATCTTTATAAAATTAGACCGTGTTCTTGTTAATGAGGAGTGGGTAGAGAAGTTTCCTAATGCTTACTGCTCTTTTCAGAACCCATCCTGTTCGGACCATTCCCCCATTATCTTGCATTCTTGAATCACCTTAAAGTCACACCATCATTTTTTGTTTAAGAATTTCTGGACTAATTATGATAGATATTGGGTCTATCTCTTAAATGCTTTCTCTTTGCCTTTAGTTTGTAACCCGCTATCTCATCTCTGTAATGTTCTTAAACAACTAAAAGGTGATATTAAGAATCAAGATTGGGCAAATGCTAACTCTCTTAATCTTCAGTTAGATTATCTTCATGCTAAGCAACAGGACATTTTGGATCTACTTATGGTTAATCCTTTGGATTGATCTCTAGGCACTTCCCTTAAAGACATCAATTTGGAAATTTCTTATGTCTCTTCCAAACAAGCTAGTTGGATTATTCAAAGAGCAAAACTAAATTGGTTACAACATGGTGAAGATGACCTTAAATTTCTATATGGTAAAATCAAGAGTCGTTTTGGTAGCTCTAAATCTTTGGTGAATTTATTTTCTTCCAATCCGAGTATTGCTAAGGAAGATGTGATTAAATCCATTACGAACCACTTTCAGGTTTTGTTTAATCCTACTCCTCCTTCTGGTAGGAATTTGGATTCTTTTCCTATTGGTGCTCCCATTCCTGAATTTTATTCTAATCTGCTTGTTTCTCCGATTTTGGATGATGAGATTAAAGCTGCAGTTTTTAAAGGCTCTTCCAAATCTTCACCGGGGCCAGATGGTTTTAATTATCATTTTTATAAATCGGCATGACACATTATTGGTCCTCTTGTATGCAAAGCTATTAGATTTTTCTTTCTTAAAGGTTATCTTCCAAGTGGAATTAAAGCTACTGCTCTTGCAATCATTCCAAAACATCATAATGCTGCTTCTATTTTAGATTATAGGCCCATCTCTCTTTGCAACACCCTTTATAAAATTATAGCCAAGATAATTGCTGGTAGAATGAATCCGATTATGCCCCTTATTATCAAAGATACTCAAGCTGGCTTTGTGAAGGCTAGAATTTCGACTGATAGTATTCTTTTAGCTAATGATATTCTCTCTTTGGTCAATAAGGGAAGGGTTGGTAACATTTTTTGTGCTAAATTAGATATCAAAAAAGCCTTTGATTCTGTAAAAAGGATTTCCTAAGCCTTTTATTAGCTAGATTAAGGCTTGTATTACAAATGTTAACTTCTCTGTCATCATTGATGGTGCTTTGGAAGGATTCTTTTCCTCTTCTGCTGGTCTTAGGCAAGGGTGCCCCCTTAGCCCTTACCTTTTTTGTTTAGTTATGGATGCTTTGTCTAATCTTCTTGATGAAAGAGGTTTTAAAGGTTTCAAAACTGATAACTATCATTTATCACATCTTTTGTATGCGGATGATGTGTTAATTTTGGGTGATGCTACAATTGACAATTGTAAAATCCTCTCTTCTATTCTTAAGGATTTTGCAAATGCTACTGAACTGCATATAAATTATGATAAATGTTCTATTATGTTCTCTAAGAATCAAAGGAATCAGGATATGCTTTGCCAAGCACTCTCTATTACAAATGTCAGTTCAAAGTTAACCTATCTTGGCATTCCCATTTCTTTTACTAGATTAAAAGTTGAGGATTTTTTGCCTCTGATGGATAAACTGCACAAGAAATTTACAGGGTGGAAGGCGAATCTTTTATCTTTTGCTGGTAGATTACATTATTTAAAATTCACTATTGAGAACACCATTGCCTATTGGATTAGAGGATCTATTCTACCTAAGACAGTTTTTAAGTTTTATAGGAAAACTTGTTCCAAATTTCTATTTTTTGGAGACATTACCAGCCTAAATAAACTACACATGGTTTCGTGGGACACTGTTTGTTTGCCTAAACAGAAAGGGGATTGGGTATTCCTTCTATAGCTGCTCTTCAATTTGCTTTTAACTGCTCTGTGATCCAGCGTATGTATAACTGTCCTTCTCCTCTATCCACTTGGCTATCTGCTCAGTATATTTCCCCTTGGAAACCTACTACTCCTAAAGATAGCAAATTCTGGATTAATGTCTGTAAGACTGCTGCTAGTATAAAGATGAAATTCAAATTCGTTATTACTCCTAATGCACCCATCTCTGTGCATTGGGATCATTGGTGCAGCAATTCAACTCTGGCTGATTATGTGGGTGGTGCTTCTCTGGACTGTTTCATATTTCCGTATCTGAAGAATTACATATCCAATTTAAACTGGGTTTTTAGCAATAATACTCCTCAGATTTTGAAAAATGCAGTTTGCAGTTTTCAAATTCTGGAGTCTGATGGTGCTTGCTTGCTTTGGAAGGATTGTGCTCACTCTAAATTTAGAGATTTTGTCAAGGATTTCTACTATGATTTATCTGATAGTAATTGGTATAATTTTATCTGGCATAAAAAGAACATGCTTAAACATTCGGTTTATGTGTGGCTTGCCATGGTTGGGGGTTTGAAAACCCAAGATGCTTTAAGGCTGAGAAACATTTATGTTCCGGTGAATTGCTCTTTGTGTCACTCTGCACCTGAATCTGTTAATCACCTTTTTTTTTATTGCCCTTACTCCTTTACGATTCTCAATTCTCTCATACCTGGTACTATGAATTTTCTGTTACGGACTACTATCATGCAACTGTTTCATTGGATGGAGATTGAATTTTCTGGATCACACAATACATTGAATTTCTACTTGTTGACGATTTGCACTTTAATTTATCAAATCTTGAGGGAGAGGAATAATCGGAGATTTGGCAGTATTTTCCGCAGTTCCTCTTTTCTTAAGTTTTTTGTGAAAAAAGTGGTAATTGGCAGAGTTTGTAAATGGAGAAATTCTGATGTGCTGTTGGGGAATTTCTGATTATATGGATCTTTCGGTTGCTGTGGCTTGCTGGTGGGCTGGATCTTTAACCAGGACAATGATGAAGCTCCTTTTCAATTCAATTTGATAATCCCCCTTGGAAGGTCTTCGGGCAACCAGGGGAATTTTTTTCGGTCATCTCTCTTTTCTCTGAGTCCTGGTTAAATGTGTATTGGAGCTGGTTAATTATAATCTGGAGCTATATGGTATCATTTGGTTCTGCTTCTTGCTGCAGTTTTTGCACTTCATGTTTTTTATTTTTCAGGAATTCTACTCTTCACCTTCGGCTCGTGCAAGCTGGAATGTTCTTCTGCTCAAAGCCTGGATTGGAGATTGGTTTCTCTTTCTGCAGACCCATGTCTTTTTGGATCAGTCAAGTTCTTTGATTGTGACCGTTTTTTTGGCTAGCAGCTTTTTGTTTTTTAACCTTGTATTACTTTTTATTGTATTAGTGGGTATAGTTGAGGTTTCTTCATAGATCCTACATAAGTTTTTGTTTTCTGCTTATGTATGATAGTCATTTACTTGTATTCATCATTATTTATAATCTTTTATTCATCAATGAAAATTATGGGCCATGGCCCCAAAATTTCCCAAAAAAAAAAATTGTGGAAACTTCAATGATATAATAATAATATAAGTATCATAATCCAGCAATTAGTTCGGAAGGCACTGATTAACTATGATAATTATGGAGCTTTAAATAGATTTATGGAAACTTCTTAGCCTTAACAAGTTGTTCCTCTATAAGTTGAGTAGCAATATTCGGATTATTATTCCTATTTTGTACTAGTAATTGATCGCCAAATGATAAAAATTGAGAAGTTCCAACATTAACATGGCAAAATACTAAGGCCATCTCGAGTCTAAACGAACATTTGCAGCTTTCGCGAGCCCCAGCCCGAATGCCAAAAAGAAACACATTTTAGCAACTGCGTTGTGTAAAGAGTTGATTAACTTAATGAATTTATATAGAGTGATACCAGCCCAAATCATGTCAAACAGCTTCACAAATATCATGATAATTGTATACTATAAGAGACAAATCACCGCCGATCGCCAGCCACCACCGCCGCCACTATTATCTCTTCTAAATTTTCACACAATGCGTGAAAGGAGCAAATGGAGATTGAGAATTCATAAAGAAGAACCATATTAAGAAAGAGAGTGATACATAGAAGCAGATTGATTTCAATGTAAACTTGAAGTAAACAACACATTAAGAAAGAGAGTAATAATCACAAAGAACTTCAGTTCAGAAAGAAGAATCATCACAAGCTATAAAACATGGGTACAGAATGCATGATATTGTGTATCCTTGTCTTCATAAAAGAGAAAGTCTCTTCTGCCATCTCAAAAGCTCCAGAACTCATCTTAGGGGCAGAGCCGCCCATTGAGTGGCACCACTAGCTGGAAGAGAAGGCCGCATAAGTGGCATGTAACGAACCAGTGAAATTGCTTTAAGACGGGCAGAGCGAGCCACAAACTGGGAGGCCTTCTGCATCATTCAGAAAACCCATATATGTTTCAGAAGTTCATACAAAAATTAAGAAAAAGAAAATATTGTGACAATGGGAAGATTCAGGCTTCGTTTGGGACGGCTTTCTTACTGTTTTTTAAATCAGCTTTTTAGGACAAAAATTAAAAACTTTATACTAGAAAGTTGTTTTAAGAAGCAGTAAGAAAGCCGTCCCAAATAAAACCTCAGTCTCTTAGGTTTTAATTAATTGTTGTACCAAGAATTAATCCAAATGTCTTTCCTACAACCACTAATAGTACCATAGATTACCTTGAATGAATAATAGTTAAAGCTGTAGCAAGACTAGATAAAAGAAGCGAAACACTAATGGATTTAGTAGAAAAATCAGGCATAAAATCAATTGCGAAAAAGCTTACACAAACAGAATGACAATGGACCTAGAAACATATCACAAGAAGCATCTGATTTTGTACTTATTGTAGTAGCAAAAGTCTGTATGGTATGTAGAACGTGCAAGAAAATAAAGTAGGCATACCAAAGAACATCAAATATCATTTTACATTATTAGTTGAGGTTACTAGTTGCCAAAGTGACATGAAAGATGGATGAACAAAGTAGGGATTTCGGTTGCATATTTTAAAATAAATGAAAACAGTCATGATTAAGGTGTGAAAAGTAACGCTGTTCAAAGTGGAAACATAATTATACTATCCAAGATAAAACAATAGGCAACTTATCATTAAATTCTACATTTGCTAACTACAAATAAATTTGAGAATTCATTCTCATGCACTGGAAGAGCATATAAAAGATTCCTATTTATTAAATATAAAAAAAAGGGAGAGTATATATAGAAAGAGCAGGCAATGTATGTGAAACTTTAAGAATTAATGTATTTTTAAAAAACTTGATGAAAAACAGAAGGAACTAAATATATGAAGCAAAAAATTTGATGATTTCAATCATGCCAAACTAGAGTATGGAATATATAACCTACCCTTACTCTTGAAATCTAATAAACCTATCAGTTAGTCAACCTGCCGGCCATGCAAAAGACACCAAATTCAGAACTTTTTTTTTTAAGAACCTGCCTTACACTCAATTTATCAGATATCTTTGGCGTTTAACTTTAATCCATCATATTTTCTCTGTGCTCTCTAGGAATTAGAGACAAGAGATTGATTCCCAGAAGTCACTAAGCACAGAGATACAAGGAAATTGGTCTGGCTAATGTTAACTCTTAAATTAATTTGAGTTGTTTTTTTTTAACAAAGGCTAGATGAATTTCAAAGGAACCAAGGAATATTATTGAACATTTCCAAGGTCCACTTAATGAATCTTAGGATGACCTTGTGAACAATCTATCTGTATAACAATAATATTAGGATCAAAATGTATCAGCACTTTCTTCTTTTAATGGCAGTAAAAACTTCACAAATCCTTCAAACAAATTACAAATTACAGACCCCTTCTTAAAAAGGTCTAACATTTTTATTTATGAATTTGATAGGAAACACTTGATGTTTTAAAGTAATTCATATCAATTTCGAAAAAACAGCAAGAAAAACTTTTCCAAACTGAACAAAAATCAGAAAAACCAGTAGTTTTTATTGCAATAATCAAAGGTACAGACGGAAATTACCAAGATACAATTGATCCTCTATTCGATATGAGGATCTCTCTCCCAAATCCCTAGATGCTACTAGAGCCCAAAGAAACTCATAGATCTCAAATTTCCGCCAAATTCAAGATGCCCTAATCCTAGAAAAACAAACTATATAATGCACACAATCAAAAAGAAAATCTCTAAACAGTCCCTACATTCAAATTTCCCTCCTAACTCCCTCAAAAATCCTTCCTAAACAGCTCCCTTTGACTCGGCGGTTCAAGAGACGTACACGAGAGGCGGAATCTGACCGATCCAATGGACCGGTCAAACAAAATTCTTTCGTAAGTCAAGATAACCATCAGCAAGTTTCACAGGAAAATTCCTCGGGAAATCTAATAAACCAATTTTGTTGCCCCAGTGCATACAATTCTAAAGTTGTCCGTACAGTGCAGATAGTACAAAAATTATCAAAATTAAAGAAAATTATGCCAAGGCTAGGCCTCTAGTCGCATCCATGGAAACATTGTTCAAGCAAATTTGCTGGTGCCATCAGCAAGTTTCACAGGAAAATTCCTCAGGAAAACGATGTAACCAATTTTGTTGCTCCAGTGCATACAATTCTAACGTTTTCCATGTAGTGCAGATGGTACAGAAATCTACCAGAATTATAGAAAATTATGCCAAGGCTAGGCCTAGCCACATCCATGGAAAATTTGTTCAAGCAAATTTGGTGGTGCCAATATTTGCTTTACAATGAAAATAACGCCAAGGGACACGGGGGCCAGTTCTCTTTAGTTTAGCTGAGGGCATAATGCTTCTGAGGCAGATTTCACAAAGATGACCATCGCTGCTTCCATCATCATCGCTCCCACCGCAATGCAAGTCCTCTAAGCACGACGCAATCACCACCATTCCAAAATATTAGATTCACTCCAATGCAAAATGGTTTACTTGATTTAATTCTGATTCACTTCCGGTTCCAATGCCTAAGTCAAACCTCTTGACCCAAATTAACCTCGGTTCAATTCCAGGTCAAATAAAATAAATTTGGTTAACGAAAACCTGAGTCAAATTAGTCCCAGTCGAACCAAATTAGTTAAAACAGACAGTTGTCTTCATGCTGGCCCACATTTGAAAAACTCAATAAGTTGAAATTCATGTTAAGATACATGGCTGCAAACTGGACCAACACGACAAAATCCAGTTTCTTTAGTTACAGCCACTCCAGAATAAAAACACCAAACTTATCCAGTAAGCTACGTTTAGCTTTGAAAACTATGCCAAGGTAGCGGCCACTTCATGGGTCGTCGACCTAATCAACTAATTGAGGCTAAGGCAAACAAAATTTAAACATTTCAAGTTGAGAATAAATGCACAAGTTGAACACGGTTCAAAATAAAAATTACTTAGCATCAAGTTGACTCGACCCAAAATAATACACCATGTATTATTATCTATATTATATATTTTATTTAGATATTTTATATCGAATCAGATTTTGAGACGACTCAATCTATATTCAAATAAGTCAAAGCAAACTCAAAATTGACTTGAAATCAGTTTTGAGTTTGAAATGAAACTCGACATTGACTAGAAATTGAGTTGAACCAATTTCAAATTGAGACAAATTCTAACAAGTTTGGAGCTTTTTTATTAGCTTTTGGGAAATATAATTTTGATTAAAGAAATCTTCATATCACAACCATCGCACTTCATCAACCAAAGGCCACAAAATACTCCTAATTGGAGAATTTCGTTACATGATGAACACAAAATTCAAGCTAGATAGTTTACGAAAAAAGCTAAATAATTTATATCTTTTTCGATAGCTAAAGGATGTTTTTTGCAATTCTGTTAATTATCAATTAGTTTGAAATAGAAATTTAAAAATTGATTTTATTCTGAATTTTTATGTGCTCGACTCTTATTCCAAGAAACCCAAAAAACCAATTGGAAGCCAGCATTAATTTTACTTGGTAGTTGGATAGTTCTGGCTTGACTTCAGAATTAAGGATTAAAAGGGAGGGTTGCGGATATTTTTCACTTGGCTAGGAAAAGAAAAAGGTGGGCCTATGGGATTGAAAAGCAAAAAGAGAAAAGAAAGAAGGGAAGAGAAGAAGAAAGAGGAAGAGAAAAAAAAGCGAAAATGATAAAAATAGTCACTTGACTCTTTACAAAGGATCAAAATAGTCCCCAACTATATTAAAAGGCTATTTTGATCCATCAAGCCTTTAAAAAGGAATCAAAATAATCTGCTGGGACTATCTTGATTCCTCATTAAGGAGTTGGGGAACTAAATTGTACTTTAATATAATTGAAAACTATTTTGCTCTTTTATAAAAAGTCAAGGGATCATTTTGATTTTTTTCTTTAAAAAAAAAAAAGAAAGAAAGAAATATAGGAAACTATATGACTCTTTCATTTCTAGCCATGCGTCCATTTGTCACAAAACAAGTGCATGGCGTTAGTAAAAATATGTTATAGAAAAGCAAAAGATGATTCTATAATTCAAAATATATGTTGTTAGTGTGAAGAGAGAAAAATGACCTAAATTCTTGGTCTCTTTTCCTCCAAATCTCTTACTTTATTGTTTGATATTCTATTAATCTCCAAAAATATACATGACTAAGTGAAATTTTTTATGCACCCTCTCTTACAGTGGAATATTTTATTTGTGTGGTCATGGATGGAAGTAATTCAATCTCCTCAAAATATAAATTTCATTGTTCTATTTTTACTTTTCAATAAATATTTTTCATCTTTGCTATTGCTCCCTCAGTTAATTTCCAACCTTCCATGGCAATTGATATCAAAGACAACCATGAATTTTTAAGTGAAAACAAAGAGTAATAAGCAAGAGAGAGAAAGGTGGAATCGACCTATTTAATGAAAAAGATTTTGGACATAAGGGGCAGCTTGGTTTAATGAGAAAGGAATGCACATTAAAGAATGTAGTGTAAAGTAAAATTAGTGTAATGAAAATACTTTTCAGTTGTTTGGTTGAATATACAACAAACGCAGGATCTTAATTTTGTTTGGTTTGAAGGAAATGCAAATTAAAATAGCAATGCATATGAAAAAACAATTCATCGGATGTAGTCAATGACGATGGTTGGTGGCCGATGATAGACAACAATAAATTATGCAAGCACATATAAAGTTTGAAGAAGAATCCATAAGTTTTTATATGGAAAAATCTAAGATGAGAAAAACCCCACAAGGCTTAGGTTAGTTGCAACAATCCACTATATAATTGTTAGATATAAAAATCCGCTCTTTTCCATAATGACGAGATTACACAATTAACTAATTTTTATATATGGATTATCGAAGTCGGGACACCACAAGTAGATAGTTGAAGTCGAACAACGGATTGTGATGTTGATGATGGCGGCAATTGCTAATGGTG